CTTAAAGGCCCAAACAAAGCCTGACAAAGTGTATTTCGACCCATCGCCCCTCAAACTTTTGCGGTCATCAAAGGCAGACGACAACTTAGTCCAGGTAGCTTTCCATATATACGAACCCCACGGAAACAGATTCCATGCATTTAGGTCCTCTACCAATAATATTAGCTCCTGAGGAATAGGTTGTCTGGCCTCTCTACCTAGAAAGCCGGCATACAAAAGTAGTAGAAGGCATACTCGGACAACATCGACGTCATTCATCCGAGTAAAACCATCTTTCTTATTAAACAATTTTTTCATGTCGTCGACGTGTAAGTTCGGCTTCTCTATTGACTCATCAGGAAAAACCCTGGATAACCATGATGGGCGGGTGATATGACGAGTGTACCGGCCTACATCATCATGTCCGAATCGTAGACCAGTGATTAAGCAGAACTCCTTCCGCCCAAAACAAGTATACGCCGGTGGAAAATGAAACCATATCTCTTCCTCACCACGTTGTATACTGTCGGGTAGATCGCTAGTCATGGTCTGAAGCCACAAATGGGTCAAACTAGCATCTCCACCCGGATGCTGTACTCTCAGCCATGGCCCGAAGTAGGTTTCTTCAAACAATTTTCTTTGTGCAGGTGAAAGCTTCGAAGCAATTGTAGTGGCTAGGCTAACTTTATTCCTTAATGTCAATGAAGCCGAAAAAAATTTCTACAAAAAAACAATAAACATACCAAGTTAGATATACCAAAAATTACACTGTCAAGATATACCAAAAACAAAACAATAAACATAAATAGTAGTTTATTCTTGAAACTAAAATTTGCAACACTGTTTCTGTCTTTTGGTTGAAATGAAAATCGCAACGAGATAATGAGAATCGCAACGCGGAAATGACTATCGCAACGAGAGAATCGCAACGCGAAATGACTATCGCGACCAGACAATCGCAACGCGAAATGAAAATCGCAACCGCGAAATTAAAATCGCAACGCGAAATGAAAATCGCAATGCGATTTTGGTTTCGCGTTGCGATTTTTATTTCGCGTTGCGATAGTCATTTCCGCGTTGCGATTCTCATTCTCGAAACTATTCTTCTTCTGCATTACTTCAACCAAAAGACAAAGCAAAGACAAATACTAACTTCACAGGCTAAACAGTTTAGCAGTATTGGCAGCAATCGAATGAATTTAATAAGAAATCTAAGTGAAATGGTTAATCTATTATTGAAATTACCAGTAAACTTATCATCAATCTCAATATGAAAAACCTAAAATAATGCAAAAATTTCAAAATAAAAATAAAAAAACTAACCCTCGGAGGTTGATTTTCCATTTCTGAATGATTGTGAGGGATTTTTGACTGTGAATGGTTGTGAGGGATTTCGCCGGCGATGGGGACGGAAATCTTCGGAGATGGGGACGGATTTCGCCGTAGAGAGTGAGAGATGGAGATGGGACTGAGTGTTGTGTTTTTGGGTTTGAGGTTATGAGTTGCGATTACTGTGGACGGTTCATTTTCCGATTTATTAAGAAAAAATACGTGTTTGGAATTTGAAAAAAAATACGCGTTAATACGAATGGCGCTAAGTAAATCGCGTTGCGAAAGTCAGTATCGTGTTGCGAAAGTAAGTATCTCGTTGCGATTTTTTATTATCGCATTGCGATAGTCAGTATCGCATTGCGATTTTCCCAATTCGCGTTGCGATTTACTTATTCGCATTGCGAATTTCCCAATTCGCGTTGCGATTTACTTATTCGCATTGCGAATTGGTAAAATCGCAACGATACTGTAGACCATCGCAACGCGATTTTCAACTATCGCATTGCGAAAATGCAACGCGAATTTGCGATAATGGAGATCGCGTTGCGAATTAGCGATCGCATTGCGATTTTGTTGGTCATTTTGGCAAATCCGGAAAAAGTTGATTAAAATCGTATATTATATGGGATTTTTGGTCACTGAGGTTATTTTCTCTTTAATATATTATAAAGGCAAAAAAATAAACATCAAGCTAAAATATAAATATATTAAGTATAATTTCAATCTTGTATGTAAATATATATTAACAACTTAATGGAGAAATAGAAAAGTTGCATATAATAAAACAATAAGATATTTCGAAAACAAACAAAAATAAAAATAAAAGAAACAAAACAAATAATGGAGGGCTGTACCCCCCAAAAAAAATTATGTGCCCGCTAAATTTTCCTTCTCTTACGATGAAATAATGAATTATCTGTGTTTATTGTTTTTTCACAAATTCCAGTTTTGGAAATCCGTCGACGACGAGGGGTTACTGGGTTTCGAAAACGAGACCTTCCACGTTCGAATTTCACCGTCAAGGCTTCCGCTAATAACCGAAACTGCATCACTATGTTCATCGTCTCTAACCGCCGTCAACGACTTCACTGGCTTCTGATGACCATCGAGAACCGCCAAACAACAATATTTCGCCTCTACTCCACGTTGCCAAATCCTAACCGTCCGATCAGCGGACCCACTCATCAGTAAATCACCGACGTTGATCAAGCATAGGATCGCCTTCCCGTGCCCTCTCAACGCCCCCGTAACCACCATGTAATTGGCGCTATCCTCCCTCTCCCAAACCAGAATCGAACGGTCACACGCACCCGAGAAAAGCACCGATCTCTCGTCGTCTAAAGCCAGTGCGTTAACCGCTGACTTGTGCTTCTCTAGAGTCGCCACCAATGCGTACCGCTTCTCGCCCGACGGTTTCGCCCACACCCGGATCCGTTTGTCGGCGGACCCCGTATAAACCGTTCCGTCAACGGAGACGGTGACGGAGTTAATGGCGTCGTCGTGTGCTTTAATAGACTGTAAACAACGAGCATCCGATGCTCGCCATATTTTCAAGGTTTTATCCCATGAAACCGAGTAGATTAGGCCTTTATTGGAGGTGAGTCCGGTAACGGCGTCGGCATGCTCGATCCATAACCGCTTCACGTGACGGCGTATACTGACGTAGTTCTTTGGGAGAACGAAGCGACGTAAACGGTCATTAACTGTAGGGAGAGCGGTTAAGAACTTGTGTTTTTTAGTGACGGTCATTTGCCAGACTCGGATCCTACAGTCCTGGTGAGCTGTGAAGATTTTTCCGTTACAGAAAGTGACGGACTTAACGGAACCGGAGCATGAATCCTGGCCGTTGTAAACATCAAGAAGAGTGGACGTTCCTTGATCGTAGACTCTGATTTCGTTAACAGAGGCTATGTACAAGAAGTTACCCTGAACCGCAACGCAGGTGATCGGGTGCTTGGGTCGGGGATTGATTGAAGAAACGCTGATGTCGGAGACGGAGAAGACTATGTTCTCAGGGAAGAGCTTCTGTAAGGAAGGGACAGATGACAGAGTCTGGAGGGAGAGGTTGCTAGGGAGGCTACTGTAGCTGGTATCACTAGAAGAAGCGGAAGATGACGTGGCGCTTCCCCGATTGTCGGAGGAGCTGTCGGAAACGAGATTTTCCGATGAGAGATATGGGTTTTGTGGGAAGGGAATGGTGGAGTCATGGGTTAAAGTGGCGCAGGTCCTGGTGGAGCATGATGTTGCTAGCCATGATCGGACCTTCATGCCGGCCTTTTGAGACGAAAAAAAAGTGAAGCTATGCACGAGAGAGAATAGAAGCGACTCCTTTGTTGTGGTTTATATATAGGAAAATATTTTTGAAATAAATTAGAAAACAAAAAATATATTGCCACGTGGATTTAAGCCAAAGGGTATGGTACGATCCGACCTGGGTTCCAAACGGACAATAAATGGCACGTCAGGAAGGGTACTTTGGTACTTTGATGGTAGTCATCGGGGTTATTTTAGTCGGTATATTTCAACCAACTTTGACGTGAGAGATATTGCGGTGGCTAACCGCGTTAAGGCGCCTCCGGCGAGGTCAGGACATGAAAAATAAATAGCACCCTTTTAATAAATTTTAATTTCTTTTTCATAAAGGATAGGAATTAGGAACATTATCCAGACAATGAATTTAAGATTTAGTATATTTAAAATTTCTTTTTTATTACTTATCATTAATTCAATTGACATATTGATAAATTGCATTAATATCGATTATATTGGTTTTAAATTGAATAGTTTAATTAATATTATTTTTGTTAAAAAATTAATATATTTTGTCAATATTAATATAGGTACATGTCAATCCATATCACTTGGTACAAGATATCAAATCATTTTTTATTTTTAAGTAAAAGACGCCCTTTTAACAAATATTTAAGTTTATATATTATTTGATGGTATGTATTATACTACATTTATCAATTAAATGTTAAAATATTTACTTTATAATCTAATTTGTTTTATTAATTCTACTAAATTGATTATCTGATTTATTTTTATCATTAACGGATTATAAAATTTCTTTTAATAATCTAAAACGATCATAAAGTAATATATGTGAACTACAAAAAATTTAATAAATTGATTTTGAATCATTTATTTTTTCCAATAAAGAAGAACATTGTAAGGAGAAATTATTTAAATTTGTATGGTAAGAAAAAGGAAACCTGAAATCATCACCATACATCTTAATTTAGCTGTTTGAAATTATAATTTCTATACCCCACATGAATGAATATTGGAACTCTGAATCCTTATTTTTGGTTTGTTGTATATCTATTTTTTTCTTTTTGAAAAATAAATAATCCAAAATTGTGTTAGTATGACCAAGTATGTCCCGACTTTAAGGGTTCGTTTGGTTCACTGAAAACATTTTCCGAAAAATGAAATCTGGAAAATGAATTATATTTCTAGAAAACATTTTCCAGAAAACATTTTCCAATGTTTGGATGGTACATTGTAAAATGTTTTGCACTGTTTGGTTAATTTTTCTGAAAACAATTTTCAGAATTTGTTTTTAATAAATAAGCATACATATTCAATATGTTTTTATTCTTAACCTAAAAGGTTCATTTTATTTTTTTCATTATGCCATTTACAATATATATACTAAAAGGTGTCAATGGACTTGTTATTGGCATATTTCAGCTGTCAAGATGTAAAACACACAGAATCTGTACTCATAGAAGCTGTTCTCTGTCAAGCTGGGAACAACTATGACAAAAACAAAACATGACATCTAAGTGAAATATCTCATGAGATCAACCTGGTCATGACAATTCAAAACCAGATATTCTACAATGCATGATAACACATTTGCAATGTTCAAAGCCCTGACATAACCATTCTGGGCACCTATCCAACTAGCGAACCTTACAGTCCAACTAATAAGTTAATGTTCGAGCTGCAAAGTGGCATTAAGATGATCATCGCTAAGCTTTTTGCCGGGTCCAATAGAACCTAAACTTTTGGCTTCTGTAATCACCTGACATTGACTACGATGGCATTCAGGCATGCGTTTCCACATTATGTTTAACCTGGAAAACGAAATTGCAAGAAAACAATTAAGGCAAAAAAAAGAGTAAATGATAAGCAAATATTGGTTTGTGGAGAGACGAAAAAATTGCACATTCAGCAAAATCAAGGAACATGCTTCACTTCACTTATAAAACTCCCTCTAACACTTCATACCCTTTAAAAAACTCTCAGGCCAGTACCCCCATTATTGAAATCCACCGCTCATCACCGTATACTTTTACAAGCTTCAACAGCTAAGACAAGAGATTCCTAAATATTAATGCAAATTACTAAAATGCCAAAGCAATGTCATTATGCAACCACTAAAGATAGCAAAAGGATTCTGATTAAAAATGCTAATTAAAGATATCAAATGACAATAAAAATGGCAAGGCCAAAAGTAAGATGCAATTATGTCAGTTAATAACAAAACACTAGCAATGTACGTAGAGAATAAAGAATGAGATAGAAAAATGTAAAATAGTTGAACAAGCAAAAATAATACCCTTCAATCAGTTCATTGAGCAGAGGCCATAGCTCCTCATCTCTGATCTTATTAGTTGTCACAAATATCTTGTCAACAACTTGAATTGCAATTCTTATATTTGTGGATAGGCTCTTGATCATATGCCGGGTTGAATCAATTTTGTTTGCTTCAGCACCCCTTTCGTCTAGCCGTTTCAACTTAACGACATTTCCTGTCATAAGCCACCCGCATCTTCTCCTCGGCCTGCATTGCATCAAAAACTTCTAGCTCAGGAAAATCAAAAAGGTCATGAAACTAATAAAAGAAGAGGCATAAAGCTGCTCTTCATCCAGGGAATAACCAAGTCACAGACTCACAGTGCTCATAAAGTAATCCTAAAATGGCCTTTCTTCATATTTCAAAAATCCACCAAAAATTAACACTACCCAGATGCCCAAATCAATAGATTTCAACAGAAAGAACATTAAAACTAAAAACACAACAAGAATTCAACATACCCATGAGTTCTCAGCAGTCTCCTCTGTGGGAGAGTGGCGCAAATCGAAAGCAAAGACAAGAGACTAGCTCTCCTGATCCTCACCGGCTGGCCTTTCTTTAAGCCATCGAGCGCGAAATTAACCTCTCCACATGCTCCATCATTTCCCCGAATTCTTGAGCCTCCATCAGACTCGAAGTCGACGAAATCCTTGAAAAACTGGGCTAAAAGCTCGGTTTTTGATTTCTGCCGAGCCGGTGAAAATGAAAATGGAGGTCAAGGAAGATGAAACATCTATTAAAAAAGGAGGTGAATGAAGATGAAAAGGGAGAATATGAACAGAGAGATACCTGAGAAGACGACTGTCCGCCTCGCCGGTGAGAAGGAGGCCACTGGATCGATCGATTTTACGGTGTGGAGCAAGGGACGGGAGAACGATTTGTTTTCTGTGTGGAGCAAGGGAGTTGCAGAACGATGGAAAACAACTTACCCTTTTCCAAACGGTAAGTTATTTTACCGTGTTTTCCTTCAAGTTTTCCGTTGACCGGAAAATAAAATACGTTGACCTCGAGTTTTAGGCGAACCAAACACAGGAAAACGTAAAATGTTTTCCCCCAACTAAACATACCCTAAATCTTCAAGGTGCAAACAATAATGCTCTTCATTGATATGATAATAGCAGATAAAGTATATAAATATTAAATGTTGTTATATTTACAATGTGTAAATCAAAATATTTTATATGAATTTTTTATGTGTAAAAGTTTGTTTAATAAATTATAAATATTAATAAATAAATTTACGGATTTTAAAATTAATCTTTAAATAATAAATTTCAAATATTTCATTCCAAAATCATATAAAAATATGAATAAAAATATCTTTATAATAATATTTATTATCAATTTATTCGTCACACCAATCAATTTAGAATTTAAACTATTGAAAGATATTTGTTATATCAACTGATGGAATAAACTGACAACCAACACTATGCTCAGGTCCAAGCAAAACACAAGTCTAACATACTTTAAACATTTAAATTGTACACCTTATCATTTATAATAGGTTTGATTTATGAAATATAAGATTATTTTTGTCAAATATGATTATAATAAATATTTCATAATATTTTTTTGGTTTATTTGATTACAATAGAAAAGCATAATAGTTTGTTAGAAAAATATAAAATTTACTATTAACATATTTTTTTAGTTCGTCTGAATTTTCATAAAGTTATTGTAGACACTTCATTTTGCCCTGATCCTTCTCTAAGCAAATTGCTGTCATTACTACCCCAGAGCGTTAATGCTTGTTTCCTACGAATCCCTATTGAAATGGAAGAAAAAGGAAAGAGGAGGAAGAATTGTAAAAGGGATTACTCTTGTTTTTTAAAAGGGGATTTTGGGGAAACAAAAAAAAAATGAAGAAAAACGCTTAGTGATAAAAGACAGAAAATTTTCACAGGAATAAACGTTTTTTTTTCAGCAATCAAAAATACAGAGCAAAGAGGTATTTTAGTTTTCTTCGATTTATATATTCAGTTCTCAGGTTACGATAAAGGAAAGAATTTAATTGGTATTGTTAGTTCTACGTTTTATGCTAATTAAATAGTATCTAAACATAATAATAACATAAGATAGAGGAAATACCTTGCTATCGTTGGGTGTTGATTTGTGGTTGAAGGACCACTGTGTGGGGTGGTCCGATGTTTGGTTCTCGGTGGAGGCGATGAAGGCTGTTCCGATTTGTTGGTGAGCTGTTGTCGTGGGAGTAATAAGCGAAGGGAACCAGAGAAAATGTATAAAACTTTAGGGTTCCATCGCGCAGAATAAAAATGAAAATTGGAAAAATGGGGTTTTTAGTTTTGGTTCACAGTGTTCTGGAATTTAACAAGGAAAAGTTTGATTTTATTTTAATTTTGGTAAAACCACACATTAACCCCTCCTTATTTCATATCTTTTTGCGTTTTAGTAACTGATTTTAGTTTAATCTTATTTAGATCCTTTTTTTCATGTGTTACATTTAAGTTATTAGATTTATGATCAAATCACCTTAAGTCCCCCTAGTCTAGCCATGTTTTAGTATTATGATCATTATGTGCATTTGTTTTTATTTTGAACTTTACATTTTACTTAGTTTTAATTTAATCATTCAATTGCTATGTTTTTATTTGAATTTAGTTATTATTCTTTTACTTTCTGTTAATACTATTTTTATTCTTTAAATTTTTGCTTGTATTATTTTGGTACTTTAAATTTCTTTTTTTTTTATTTAATCCCTTAAATTTATGTTTTTCTCTTGCAGTTCATTTCTAGAATTAATTTGATCCATGAATTTTAATCCTTTCCAATTTAATTTTTTTTAATTCAAATTTTCTTTTATTTATTTTTTATTTCGATTTTAATACTAACTCTTTGTTTTTGTGTGTTTTATTTTTTAACTTTATTTATGATTTTTTAGGATAATTTTAACCAATCAAAGGTAAGTAATTTGAATCGAATATCCAAATTGTAATTTAAATTTCAATTTTCGTAATTAAGATAACCGGTAAATTAAATGGTACCGAAAGGGCAGTTCAAGGGTGTTAATCCTTCCTTGACTGTAACCAACTCCCGAACCCGACATATTTCTGGTAAAACGCAGATCAAGTAAGATGGTATTCGATCAACCAAATTTTTTATGAAAAATAAATGATCGGTGGCGACTCCAACATATTTTATTTCAAGTCGAAGCCGAATTCTGGGCCCACCCGAAAGACGGTCGCGACAGCTTGGCGACTCCGCTGGGGAGGGTAAGTGAGTCAGGCCAGAATTAATTTTCGGTTGTCTTTTTATGCGAAAATGGTAAATTTAAATTTTAATTTATTTATTCGATTCCAATTATTTATCTTTGAATATTTTTCAAATAAATAGTTATACTAACGTTTTTTAATGTTTTCAGATTTTTCAAAATTGTCATCTCATGCTCTATACCCGAGCTCCGAACCCTATTTAAGTGGGGGTGAAAGCGACGCCTTCGTGAGAATTTATTCTCCGTGCGGGCCTAGCAAGTAACCTTCGGGATTCATATACCTTATGTCTTCGTGTGAATTTATTCACCGTGCAGGCATAAGGGAATGTGTCCTCTCGAGTTTAACTTGGTCCATACAAACATGTGATGGGTTTAGGACTAAGGGTCTGACAAGCCCAAGGGGGCACCAGCAAGGAGAACTCGGGTACCATTTTAGAACTTAAACCGATAGACCATGGAGAATTAGAGCCTACCTCGAAACCACATTCCAAAACCTAGGATATTTTTTACCCTAACCATGTTTTTTGTATTTTTTTTCTTTCGTCATTTTTTTTATTTTTTTTATTTGTTTACTAACTTTTTTGCCTTTGCGTTTGTTTTCTAGCATTTGCATCATAACAAGAGGCTATTGATCCCTAAAAATAGTTTGTTACACACGAAATAATCTGAATTAATGGACAAAGATGTTGTAATACAAGAGATTAAAAACGCCAAGGCACGACTATGGTCCGAGAAGACGCAGAAAGAGAAGGGAGACAGTCTTCAGAGTAACTATGTGTCAGAGCTGGTTAGCTACGCATCTGTCAGCCTGAAATAGAATAATGTCCAAGAGCTGCGGAATATTTGGGACAGTTGGAAGAATAACAGAAAGCAGAAGTTCAGCCAACGATATGGTGATATTTCCCTCTTACTACATGTCAAGACTGATGAGCCCCTGCTCCGAGCATTGATTCAATTCTGGAACCCAGGATATAGTTGTTTCACCTTTAACCGGGAGGATATGGTGCCCACCATCGAAGAGTATACTACCCTACTGCACTGTGAAAGTATCAGACTAGAGAGGGTATATATCAAACACATCAAGAGTCAACCTTTCAAGAATAGACTGGCTAAGATTACAAGGGTTGATGAAAAATGGGTAACTGATCGACTCCGACACAAAGGTAACGGGGAAGGAATCGAGTGGATCCACATAAAGCAACTAATGAAGAACCACCCTGATGAATGGAAGACTATAGACCTTTTTACACTGGGTCTGTATGGTTTGATTATATTTCTGAAGATCCTTAGGTGCATTGACTCAACCGTTGTGGAACTATTTGAACAACTTCCAAGGCGACTCAACCCAGCACCGACCATTTTGGCCGAGACCTTTCGGTCTCTTAATCATTGCAGAAGAATTGGTGGAGGAAGGTTCATTGGGTGTGTTCAGCTCCTTCAAGTTTGGATTCACAACCACTTCTGGAAGACTAACGGGGTCGCCTACCGCCGATTTAGCACCACCTATTCACCTTTGGGAGAGTTCATCACTATAAAATGGCATGAAGACGCTACCAAGGAAAAGTGGATGAAGGTATTCACTCATCTTCATGACCGGGATATTACCTGGAGAGCCCCCTGGTTATTCCTCAGTGACGTTCTTTACCGGTGTGGGGATTCTAATACTATGACCTTACTTGGACTTTGGGGCACAGTTGGGTATGCTCCGTCGTTAGCACTTAGACAATATGGGGCACGTCAGTTCATCCCAGCCACATACAGATTATCTATATCAGAGTTTGTGTACCACGGTGATAACTATAAAAAGATGATCAAAGAAGTAGCTGACTCATGGAAGAAAGTGTTCCGAATGGATATTGTAGATGCAAGAGACATGCTTACTCCGGATTATGTAGAATGGAGAAGATTGAGAAAAATGACAACATCCCGGTGCCAGACTGTGAAGACACCTGGACCATGGAGGAACATCTCAGGCATGTCCCTTCCGAACTGGAGATAGCCAAGACCGAGTTTGAAGCTGTGAATAATGAGCTGAAGCAGAAGGTAAGGGAACTTGAAGTTGAACGATACCAATGGAAGTTAGACACCGATACTCAGAAAGATCGAGCAGACAAACTGGAGAAAGAATAGAAGAAAATCCATTTCGAGCTTGAAGACTTGAGAAAGGGGTATCAAGATAAAGTCAAGGATAACTCCAATTTGAAAAGAACTTCTGAATACTGGAAAGATGAAGCTCATAGCCTAAAAAGGAAGTTTGAGGGGTATGATGAGCAGCTGAAGACTACTCAGAGGCGCTTAGCAGGTAGTCAACATCATAACCAATGCTTGAGAATCCAGGTGGCTGATCTGGAGAAACAACATGAGAAAGATGGCAAAACAATAGCTGAGTTAGAAGCCATTCTTGATGAACTCAAGAAGCAAGCAAGCGAACTTCAGATAGTGCCTTTCGACGGAGGTTTACAGTGGAGTTTCCATTGGGAGCAAGCTCAGCAAAGGGTGAAGGCTAGAGACGTAGTCATCCGAGATTTCTTGGATCAAGTACAGAAGGCAACCTATCATCTACATGGTTTGGCAAGGGAAGCCAGAGTGGTTCGACAGAGCATTCAACCAGTAACAGATGAAGGAAGAAGACTTATCAACCTTTTAGAAGATGTTCGGGGTCTGGAGGATTTAGTCCGTATATACCTTTGATTGTTTTTATGTCTCTTATAAGATAAAACATTTTTGTTTAAATAAGGATTATTTATAATAACAGACACTTTTCTGGATCAATGCCTCTAAATTGCATACATCATGCATTGCATACTTTGCATTTTATATTTCATGTTTATTTTT